TCAAGCATAGCTCTAACGTCGCCGACTGTAAAAACCATGATTAGTCAGTGTCGTCAGGGAGCCTTGGGCGCTGTTGCACCGGGTGGCCTTACCTTGCCGTGACCTGGTGGGGCGTGGCTGGATAGCTCTTCCTGCGCTGCATGATGTGGCGTACGCGAACGGACTGGTCACGGCCCCCCTCCGATGGTGGCGCGATCCAACTGACGCCCCGGCGCGGCACCGGTCTGGGACGAGCGCGCGCAGGAGCGGCTAGAACAGCCGGGGTGGTCGTGGTCTGTGTCAAACCCGGGCCGCCGCGCCCCTTGGTTGGGTTTGCTCGACGCGTCAAAGTTGCCCGGTATCCCAGCCGGACGGTATTCTGTGGGGGGGGGGGGGGGGAGGGAACACTCCAGTCAAGTGGCCTGCGTATGCCTCTGATAATGCCCCGCGGCGTCATTGTTCACCCTCGGGAGAGGGGGGGGGGGGGGGAGCCGTTGGCGAACGTGCCGCGCAGCCTGGGATGGAAATTCTTGATCAGCTGTTCGCGCCATGCGTCGCGCGGATGGGGTCCCCGGCGGCGGTCTGTGAGCAATGATATCTCGCTGTGGCTTAGAGCCAAACTAAGCACATTCGAATCTGCGCATGTGTGTTCACGGCCCGGCCCTGGCCAAAGACCAAAGCAAACAAGCGTGGCGAAGGTCGTGGAGGGGGAGGGGGGCTGGAACGCCTGGTCGGGTTATTTGGCGCGCTCCCTCAGGCTGACGGGAGGCAGACGCCGATCGCCTCGTGCCCTCCGCGGGCCAGAACACTTACGCTGCGACGTCGCGTGTCAGACATACCACCGACTCTACTCGCCAGGACGCGGGAGCTAGTGCATCGCAGTTCAGTGCGGATTTTTTTTTGTAGATAAGGGATTTTTTGTTTCGTCCGCGTGGTGTCGATTTGAACCGCCCGGCTCCGGCGGCCACCATAGCTCCACCTCGGGGCGCGTCTGAAACGAATATCGTGAAGTGCGTCCGATAGAGGCCGGTAGACGTCTTGACATTGACTACACGGCGTGATAGACATCTCTGAAGATCATGATGCCTATATTTTCTGTGTTGACGCCTGTCGCTGCTAACGGGCGCAAAATGACCTTAGTCGGCGCCCTAAAACCCCAATCAACAACAACCTGCGCTTGTATGCAATGCTACTTAGGCTCGATAGTTCCTCGAAGCCTGAGTTTCTGTGGGCGGGTCCGTGTGTTATGGTAGCTGTTACTGTTGAAACCATCGTTCATCGCATCGTTGAAATTCTGCGGATTCGGCTCGACTTATCTTAGAGCTATTTCGGGCTGTAATGGCCGTTTCAGGGCTGTGGGATGAAGAAGAGTGGATAAGGGTGGAGCGAAACTACATGCACCTGGTGGTCTATCCGCCGAGCCTCAGCCCGCAGAGAGACCTCTGTGCGCGACATGTGCTTCGTGCCCGCGCGCAGGGACCACTATACGGGGAATGTGCTCGGCGCCTGGACAGGCCCCACATGGGGGCACTTGAGCCGCCCACTCATGGCTGGGTATAGGCGGCCTGCCCCGGATGGGCGGGGCGTTCCGGGGATGCAGGGTGAATTGAGAATGAGGAAAGTAGGGCGGGCGGAAGCGTCGCTGATGTGTTGTTAGTGGACTTGTGCTCGGTGAGTTAGTAACCCAGATGTGTGCCCCGCTCAACAAACAATTCCCTCTGCAGCAGACTCATAATAGCTGACAAGAATTATTTCGTGTCAGGCACCATGCTAATGCTGGCAGTTCGCGCAATGGGTGGTAATTGACGCCACTGGAGATGACAGTCGTCTTGAAAAAGCGACGTATCCGCAGCGTACACTGCATTTATAGATACACACGCGTCTTAATATGCACCATTTGCAGAGGAAACTTCTGCCCGTCCCCCCCCCCCCCCGTCTTGATCTGTCAGATTACGAAAGGCTGGCCGCAGAGTGGGGCTACCGCAGATGCAGGCAGTAGTCTGTGACGGGAGGTGTGTGTCGGGTCGGCAGCGATAGCGCAGATGCAGACAGTAGTCTGTGATGCGAGACGTGTGTCGGGTCGGCGGTGGTAGCGCATATGCAGGCATTGGTCTGTGATGGGAGATGTGTGTCGGGTCGGCACCGGTAAACGATGTGCAGACATTCGTTACAGCCCCAAAAAGCCAGTCTAAGCAGCGTGGGAAACCAAAATCATCACGTCCAATGACGTAGTCCGATCTTTTGCCCCTCTGCCATTCGAGATACTGTTGACAGAACGGTGACTGTAAAACATGACGCCACCGAACACCAGCCCGGCTGTGATCTAGCTGATTTGAGCTATTGCGTTTTCCTTCGTTGTTTTGCTGAAGTCCGCCTGCTGTGATCCAAGTGTAACCGTGGCTTTGAAACAGACGTTTGTTGTAATCGAGTTGGAGCCCAGAAGAGCAACAACGGCCGGGTGGATTCTGTGATAAGCTCCTGCATACATCGTGCGCTGTTGGAAGGTCCTCCGCTCGGGTGACGCCTGGCCAGTGCGGCCGTTCCGTCTGGAGCCGAGGGCTGGTGAGGGGACTGTTGTAAGGTCCTCCGCTCGAGTGACGCCTGAACAGTGCGGCCGTTCCGTTCGGAGCCGAGGGCTGGTGAGGGGATTGTTGTAAGGTCCTCCGCTCGGGTGACGCATGAACAGTGCGGCCGTTCCGTTCGGAGCCGAGGGATGGTGAGGGGATTGTTGTAAGGTCCCCCGCTCGGGTGACGCCTGGCCAGTGCGGCCGTTCCGTCTGGAGCCGAGGGCTGGTGAGGGGACTGTTGTAAGGTCCTCCGCTCGGGTGACACCTGAACAGTGCGGCCGTTCCGTTCGGAGCCGAGGGCTGGTGAGGGGATTGTTGTAAGGTCCCCCGCTCGGGTGACGCCTGGCCAGTGCGGCCGTTCCGTTCGGAGCCGAGGGCTGGTGAGGGGACTGTTGTAAGGTCCTCCGCTCGGGTGACGCCTGGCCAGTGCGGCCGTTCCGTTCGGAGCCGAGGGATGGTGAGGGGACTGTTGTAGGGTCCCCCGCTCGGGTGACGCCTGGCCAGTGCGGCCGTTCCGTTCGGAGCCGAGGGCTGGTGAGGGGACTGTTGTAAGGTCCCCCGCTCAGGTGACGCCTGGCCAGTGCGGGTGTCCTGTCCGAAGCCGAGGGCTGATGTACATACGGCGGCTCCCTGGTGTGATGACGCCGGCCCGAGCCTGCAGCAGCTCGCGGCGCCGGCGCCCACCTCCGTCCGGCAGGGTGGCCAGTCCGTCACGCGGCGTCTCGTTTGCAGCCGCCTGCCGTTTATTTTAGAGCAGTTGTCGTTTACGGGGGCTGTCATCTGTCATCTGCCAGCGTCAGTATATACTGAACCTTACACTCAGATTGAGGGTCATCGCCACTAGACACGTCATGCTGGTCTCTTTGTGATAAATATGTTCGATACTGCATTCCTTCGAAGAGGTTATTGGTTTCAAGATTCGGTGGGGCAAGACTATTTTTGTTTCCCTTTGCTCCGAACCATCAGTATTCCGAAATGGTGGGGACAGACTGCTCTTTGCCCTTTGGTGTCATGTGAGGCACTTGTCGAGCAGTGCTGTCTGGTCAGAATGTCGTGGTCAAGACGATGCTGTCTCCGTCAGTCGGATAAAGTCGAATTCGAGACGATGCCCTCCTTCTGTCTGCCCGAGTTCGTCAGACGATTCCGCCTCTCCGTGTCAGGCAGTCGGTCAGTCAGCCTGGACGGGTTCCGCCACTCCATCTCAGTCAGTCGGTCAGTCTGGACGGGTTCCGCCACTCCATCTCAGTCAGTCGGTCAGTCTGGACGGGTTCCGCCTCTCCATCTCAGTCAGTCGGTCAGTCTGGACGGGTTCCGCCTCTCCGTCTCAGTCAGTCGGTCAGTCTGCGCGGGTCAGTCCGTCCAGGCCTCTCCGTGTCAGGCAGTCGGTCAGTCAGTCTGGACGGGTTCCGCCACTCCATCTCAGTCAGTCGGTCAGTCTGCACGGGTCAGTCCGTCCAGGCCTCTCCGTGTCAGGCAGTCGGTCAGTCAGTCTGGACGGGTTCCGCCACTCCATCTCAGTCAGTCGGTCAGTCTGCGCGGGTCAGTCCGTCCAGGCCTCTTCGTGTCAGGCAGTCGGTCAGTCAGTCTGGACGGGTTCCGCCACTCCATCTCAGTCAGTCGGTCAGTCTGCGCGGGTCAGTCCGTCCAGGCCTCTCCGTGTCAGGCAGTCGGTCAGTCAGCCTGGACGGGTTCCAGCCACTCCATCTCAGTCAGTCGGTCAGTCTGGACGGGTTCCGCCACTCCATCTCAGTCAGTCGGTCAGTCTGGACGGGTTCCGCCTCTCCATCTCGGTCAGTCTGGACGGGTTCCGCCTCTCCGTCTCAGTCAGTCGGTCAGTCTGCGCGGGTCAGTCCGTCCAGGCCTCTCCGTGTCAGGCAGTCGGTCAGTCAGTCTGGACGGGTTCCGCCACTCCATCTCAGTCAGTCGGTCAGTCTGCGCGGGTCAGTCCGTGCAGGCCTCTCCGTGTCAGGCAGGCGGTCAGTCGGTCTGGACGGGTTCCGCCACTCCATCTCAGTCAGTCGGTCAGTCTGCGCGGGTCAGTCCGTCCAGGCCTCTCCGTGTCAGGCAGGCGGTCAGTCAGTCTGGACGGGTTCCGCCACTCCATCTCAGTCAGTCGGTCAGTCTGCGCGGGTCAGTCCGTCCAGTGGGTGGCGGCGTTGTGCTTACTACTACCCCACTACTACAACCCTCTCTCCTTCGTATTTCGAAGGAGACTACGGAGGCTCGAGTCCTGTCGAGTCCTGTCCTGTCAGGGGCTCGAGACGGGCCTGCACCAACGTCCCGGCGGCCCGGACCGGAGCCGGCCGAGCTGCGCCGTGCCGCGCGGCGGCGCCACGTGACGCGCGCTCCCGGGCCGCCACTGGGCCGACTCAGTGCGCCGTCGGCTGTGCCACGCGACGCCCGTGCACCACCCCCCCCCCCCCCCCCACCCCCCACCACCACCGCAGCCGCGCCATGGAGGTGGGCGTGGTGCGTGAGCCGGGCCTTGTGAAGATTCGTCTCATGCTGACTGTGAGCCTGCTGCTGCTCGTGCCGCTCGGTGTGCTCAGCAACATGACGCACTCGCTGACGTTGGCGCTGGAGGCCTACCACATGCTCTACAACGTGCTGACGATCGGCGGCTGCTTGCTGGCGCTGCGACTGTGCGGCGCCGGCGGTTCGACCAAGAACACGTTCGGCTGGGCGCGGCTGGACGTGCTGGTGACGGTGATGACGCTGCTGTTCTTGGCAGCGTTGTGTTTCTCCGTGTCGGTGGAGGCGGTACAGGCCATGGTGCACGCTGGCCATCAGGACGCCATCCATCACCCAGTGTACATCATGGCGTGCGCGGCTGCCGTGCTGCTCGGCCACCTGCTCTGCTACGTGCTCATTGGCGGCTTTACCAACCTGCAGAGCACACTGTTAACGATGGACGACGGCAGCGGCGGTGGCGGTGGCGGGGTGCGTCTGGCGCCGGCCTCTTCGCTGAGCCCGCTGCGTCCGGCGCCGCGCCGCTTCTCACGCTTCTCGCCGGCCGGGCGGCTCTGGCTGCACTTCTTGCGGGATATGGGCGGCACGCTGCTAGTGGTGATGTCTGCTGCCGCCGCGCACATCAGCCGTGCGCTGCCCGTGCGGTACGTGGACCCGGTACTGGCGCTGGTTGGCGTCGTCCTGCTTCTGGCCACCAGCCGCACCGTCTTCACAGAGTGCTGCCTAATCCTGCTGCAGACCATGCCGGACACGTTCGACGTGGTGTCGTTCCGCGCGCGCCTGCTGGCGCTCTTTCCAGCCGTGGAGGACGTGCATGAACTGCACGTCTGGCAGCTGACGCCCGACTGCGTGGTGGCCACGGCACACGTGGTGCTGGCCGGACCACGCCAGTTCAACGACGTGGCCGAGCGCGTCGCCGCCTTCTTCGCCGACAACGACATCGGCCATGTGACGCTGCAGCCCGAGTTTTCCGCGGCGCGCGTCGGCACCGACCCGGGCGGCGCCGGCAGCGGCTCGCGCTGTCTGCTGCCGTGCGCCGACAGTTGTGTGAGCGCGCGCTGCTGCGCCGGGGCGGCGCCGCGGCCGCGGCTGCCCACCATCACCGTCACGGCGCCGTCGCAGGCGACCCTCGCCTCCTCAGGCGTGCCGGATGACGGGGCGGCGGCCGCCGACGCCGCCGACGCCGCGGCCCCGGCGACCGACTCCAGCGACTTCGTGACCCCGGCGGCGGACTCAGCCGACCCTGCTGATTCAGCTGCCCCGGCAACGGCTCCAGTCCTGGCCGAGGTAGCTGCGGCGAACAAAGAGGCAGCCGCACCGACCCAGTGACCGGTGGCCAGGCTCAGTGTGGCGGTGGTAGCGGCGGACATCAGTAATAGACCGGGCGATCCCCACGCTATCCCTCTTCAGCATCAGTGTCCAGAGGCTCCTCCGCTGTGGAAACCTCGCCTTGCTGACGTACTCTGAACTCTGAACTCTGACGGATCAGAGACGGATCAGATGTCTCGCCGGTACGGGCTAGCTGCGGTCTCTGCGGCGGATGAATGGCAGCGGCTGACATCAGGTGCAGCCCTGTTCGGAGGCGACATGCCTTGCACCGAAGAGACCGTGCTTTCATGCCATCTGTTCTTCCGCTGGAGAGAGCTTGACCGGTTTTCGCTGCCAGCGTCAGGTGTTGCTGAGCTAAAAGACGTGGGATGATTCAGACTTTGCGTTGAAGGCCGACGCCAGGTGGCAGGATACCGAAATGTTCGGGCGTTTTTTAGGTGACTGGGACGGCGTCCAACTGGAACCATTCCAGCTCGTCAGTCGAACCCCACGGGCTGTTGGACCGACGTGCGGCGGCCGGCGGGTCGGGTCAGCCAGTTCTGCCCAGCTTACTGTCGCGCGGTGCAGGACGTCGACTGCGGACCGCGGTGCCACATATAGATAGGACTCCGTTATCGGCGCCTCCCTCTGAGGTCGTGTCCGAGCGCACTGGCTGTTTGTCGTGCGATACGCGGCCGTTTTGCTGTGTGCGCGGCCACGTGCGCTGAATTTGCCCCCGCCCCGCCCCCACGTACGTCGGTTCCGTGTCTCGTTAGCGCGCCGTCGCGTGAGATTGTATAGCCGGCTGTGACCTAGGAGAACGGCACCGCACGGGACCCGGGCGTTCGCGGCGGCCGGTGACACGGGAGATGGCGGCGATTGGACGAGGCCTGCCGAGAGCGGGTCTGGCCGGCAGAGCAGGGCGGACCTGGCCGGCCCTACAGAGCGGACCTGACCGGCCCTACAGAGCAGACCCGGCCGGCTTTACAGAGCGGACCTGGTCGGTCCCACAGAGCGAGCCCGTGCGTCATGTATGACCTCTGAGCAGAATGTGGTGCAGAACGGTGTGTGCGTTTTTGAATATTTACATTCTGAGAACATGGTGGAAATGTCTGAACCTGTGAACAATTCACCTCACTTCGTGGGCCATAGCTGGTAAGGCGTGCAACGGTGAAATGAGGGAATAAGCGTGCGTAGGTAATAGGTATGCGCCGTGTTGTTGGCACCTCAGTGGAAACCAGATGTACGGGGCTCTATCCCCGCGGCGCCCGCCCTTCCTGCCAGGGTGAGAGGCAGGCGACGCCATACAGCCTAGCAGCTGAGTGCGTCGTACAGCCCCAGTGGCGTGACACTTGATGTTCCAGTCCACATGTTCTTTTGCCATGGAAGATCTTCAGTTATGCTGGTATACCCAGACCACTTGCCGAGAACAGCGACAAACCCATCATGCAGATACCTAACGCGAGGGTAGTAATGTTTGGGCAACTTCGAGCTGAGATTTTTCGGCGGTTTGTCCACGTGTTTTTTTCCGGACTGATGACCGTTTTGTTGATCATTAGCGCACGGGGATTTTGCCAAGCGGTGGGAAAAGGAGGACGAGGCCCATGCCCCCGCTCCCCCCTCCCAGCCAACAAGTTTGCACTGTTTGCACCGGTACACTAGATACGCGGCGTTTTTCGAAGGAGTTTGATCTGAATTTGCAGGAGTTGGGAGAAAATTTGATATCCGTCCGGGAAGATTGTGGCCGCGTGCCCGTGTGCACACATTTTGGTCGCCGAGAACATCTGTTTCCGCGTATCTGGACGTTTTGTTTTTGGTTTTTTTGTTCTTTGCTCACAGGTTTCATATAAACCGAGCGTGCGTGCGAAAACTGCTACAACCGGTGTGCATTATAACACCGGGGTCAAGGCCCCAGATGGCACAGATGACCTAAAAAGTTGTCGGAAACAAACGGAACCTGACAGCTATCTCGCAGACAGCTGAGTGTACGCTTGGACTGGACTTCGCCTCAGACGATGGGAGCTGTCCCGCGTGTGGTGACTGGTGATGGGAGCTGGCCCGTGTGTGGTGACTGGTGATGGGAGCTGGCCCGCGTGTGGTGGCTGGTGTGCCTGCGAGCAAGCCCGCTCTGTATCGTCCCAGGTGGAGACGCTGCTGACGGTGTGCAGCTCGAATACCAGGGAACGCCCCGGCGGGAGCACTCGTCTGATTTGCGAATTGGTGGCAGAAGGGTGGCACTTCCTGTGATCTATCCCTGTCGCGCCAATATGGACGAGAAATTCTCCGAGAGTTTTGTCTGACGAAATCGCTTCTTCCCTGCCCGCATGAGCACTACCCTTGCAGTGAGCTGGTCGTCTTCTGGCAAGGGCAAGCGAACGCGCAGAACGCCAGCGAGACGAGCCAATGGCTACTGGATGCCGAAGTGCGTATGGTGGGACCACGCGGTGGGTGTCCTGTCCTGGCCAGCCCTCACCCTCCCTGCCATGCGTCCTCCAACTGCGCCCAATGCGGCACTTGTGATGGGTCGCTACACAGCGGAAGGTGTAGGGCGGCTAGCGCATTCGCTTCGAGGTGCAACTGAGGCGCCGCCTGCACGCTGCTACAGTTTCTACCGACCCGGAAGTACGGTGCAGAATGATCCGGCCGGTGGGCAAGTGAGCTTGCGTGTCGTGCAGAGACACGCTCTACAGTTCTTGCGTCACGGATCAAACTGACGCCCAGCAGCGTGCTGCTCCCACGTACGAAGTGCTGCAATGAATACAGATGGTGAAGAGCTTTCAAAATTTGCCGAATTTTTTAGTGCCCATCCGTGAAGAGCAGTGTCTGTACAGTGATATGGGTTTAGTTGCCGCAAGCATGGTAACCGAGAGCCGACCTGCTGGCCGGTATGCGTGTACCGGCCGCGATCCCGCTGATCAGAGGTCAAGAGAAGGCAGGACACGTAGTGACGCTGCTCCGCTCTGTCTCCATCTGTGGCCCCCACCTATGCAGCTGCGGCCCTTGAGCTTTGCTCCCCGCACTAGGGCGTCAGTGCCGTCGAGTGGCCGAGCCGGCTCCTTTGTCGCACCGTTAGTTGACGGAAAGGCATGACCCGTCTCTCGGGTGGGCGTAGTGTGGGCCAACTGCTGGAAGGCCACGAGTCGAGTGTGGAGGGCGACGCGACCCGGCCCCGGCCACGGGACACCGGACACCGCCTGCCGGATATGGCCAGTTGGGCTTGTTGTCGGGCCTGCTGGCATCCGGCGTCTGGCCCGGCCGGGATGAGGTGAGGGGGGGGGGGGGGGGCAGGGCTACTGTGGAATGGTACCCACCGCATCGGCGTAACGAGCTGCTGGGAGGGCCGTCTGTTCGCGCGCCGTCGCCGGGGCGGACCGTGACGTCATCGCTGGCCGTGCCTGCTTGCGTGTCAATGGTGAGAAGCGGCCCAATACCGTGGCCGAGCGGGCCAGGTTGTACGTTGTAGCCTGCAGCGTGCAGTGTGCACCCCCACGACTGCAGCTCTACCGCTGCCAGCAAAGCGCGCCTTCATGCATACGAATGCCCACTCCCGAAAGTGTTGCAGCTGGCGTCGCGCTGTGGGCACTAACGGGCAGAGTTGGATGGCTTGTGCGTGCCGCCGTCGTTGACGTATCGATGCCGACCACCAGCCAGGCGGCGTCGGCCTGAGAGAGCCGCGGGCGGCCTGCGTGCCGCCGAGTCACGGTTGAACGCCGGCGCGTGCCGTGCCGTGTTCCGGCTTCGGGCGGCTCGGCGTGCGGCCGGCTGCACGGTCCCCTGGGCTGCTGATGCACGGCGCCGGGTCACGGCCCGCTGTCGCCGGCACGCTCCCGTGACCTGGCGATGCGCCGGGCCCGGTCACGGCGCCGGGTCACGGCCCGCTGTTCGCCGGCACGCTCCCGTGACCTGGCGATGCGCCGGGCCCGGTCACGGCGCCGGGTCACGGCCCGCTGTCGCCGGCACGCTCCCGTGACCTGGCGATGCGCCGGGCCCGGTCACGGCGCACCAGAGCGCGGCGGGAGGCGTGCCGATTTGAGGCCGCCGGGTGCTGAGGCGCGGCCGTGTGCAGAGCCCTGACTCACGGCGGAAGGAACACCACACCAGCTGTTTGTGATGTTCTACATCGCCTCGTTTGAAACAGGCGGTAGCGCTGTGTGTTGCGACTGCGGTGCTGGTCGTTTTCTTTGGTCTGAGTGCAGGGAATTTGCATTTTTGTTTCAGTCCTCTTGTTGGGCTTCGCTGTGGTCTCCATCCTTCCGTGGATAGAATTGCATTCACTCTGTGGTCTCGAAGATCCCCAGCCCCCTGTGTTGGAATAGGAAGTGGAATTGCCGAATTGTCAGTCAGTTTTTTTGGATACTCGTCGCTTGTGCGACCGCAGGAGCTTTTGCGTGATGCTACTGAAGCCCAGTGACTTATGTTACGTCCCTGCAGACGTGCTTATGAGTATCGTTCCCGTTCCCGGGGAGGAATCATGGCCTTGAATTGGGCGGGGGCTTCTGGACATTCACGTCTTAAATATTTACCCCTCGGCCTGGCAATGCCGTGTTTTGTTTGCGTTGTAAGTTGAGTTGGTGCGTGCGGCGTGGTGGCCGATGTAGCTTCGAGTTTCTCGGGACATGTTTTCCGTGAATCCAACGCTGGAGATTGGATATTGGATACACTGTTTCCGTTTTGCCTCGCGCGCCGCTGCTGGGAGAGAATTCTGCTTGTGGACAATGCATGCGTGCGCGCGTGGCAATAACAGGTCTGAACACGCTGTTATTTTTGTCCGTCGTACTCATTACAAGGCTCGTGTCGCCCTTGGGCGTGTCACTAATCAGATCACCAAGGTTCATATCATTTCATTCCGCGCATTTGACGTTTCAGGTAATTCACCTGATCCGTTGTCAAATGTATTAGTGGGCGGTCAAAGGCCAGTTGATATAAAAATACAAGAGGTTAGGCGATGCTTGGTGGAAGTACAGGGGTTTTGAGCTCTGACGTTTTGATGTTACATAAGTGACGGCCGAACGGTGTCGCCATCGTGGACGGGCAGCGAATCAGAACCGATAAGTAAGCTCGGATGAACACTGAACGCACATTATCGGTGAGCGATAGAAAATGCGGCGAGCTTTTTGAACACTGAAGCGGACTGCGTGCTTGACATAAACCAGAAGGCCTGAAGCTCTTGCTTTGTCGGCACGGTGAGATAGCATGCCGGGAGTAAACTACCTTCAGTATGCGAGGAGATACCGGTAAACGAAAATATCAAGCAACCACTAGGATGAATTGTGAAATGCACGACGCTCCGTGACAGTGCTCATGGACGAGTTACCACGACAATTTCTCAGGGAGCGTTTGGTGGCCACATTTTTTTTCATGTAGAGTCCACCACAAAGGTACCCTTTGCGCCACCAATGACAAAGAAACATTGGTGAAACTGGCATTGCCATGTGGTAGTGGTAAATTGTTGTTTAATGACACAACATTGGTGGCTCAAGAAAGCATTTGTGTGCAGACCGTTGTCTTTAAACACCCTACGGATGTTTCGCAAATCCTAAAGGTGTTGCCCGCGCCCCAGCGTGACCGCATACCCACAAGCTTCCGGGAGATGTTGATTCCTCACAAAGCCGTGTGACATCATTCAATGGCTCCGAGCGCATGCTGCGCACGCTTTGCGCTGCGTGATTCATCAGCGCACACTGCGGCGTGCGCTGATGAATTGGACACCTCTCTAAACCCGTGTCATGTGCTCGTTTAACGCGCGAGTGATGTGGGATCTGTCCGCTGTTGCAGACGCGTGACTCACTGGTCTACGGACCGCAAGGTGGCGTTGGTTTATGCGTGTGAATTAAACGGGCGGGCGTCGTGTGCGTGTTTTTTTTAGGGCATTTTATCATGGCGTTCTTTCTTATTGAACTGTGATAGCGTACCCCGTCCTTGTGTGTGCATTTTCGGTGTCGGCGTTGCTGTGAAGTTATTCGATTATCAGCCCCGCGGCCGCCATATCTAGCAGTGTCACAAGTAAAACGAAGCGTTTTTCGCGATCGGGACGTGAAATGAGCAGGGTAATCTAACTGCTAGCCAACAGCCATGTTAACTTTCGGTGCTGCATCACCGCAGACACGAATGTTTAAGTGGCCATATTTGTATTGACCACGAGCACAACACAGCTAATGAGCTGGGCTGTTCGCGTGAGGTCTATACCATACAGGTTCGAATGATTCCCATAAGTGGCGCGTAAGTTAACGTACATCAAGCTCAGAAGCAAAATAATTTGGAGTAATAAAAAGACATGGCTGTGAACTGCAGGATATGATTTTGCACGTGGCTATCTCAGTTCAAAATCCCATACAGATGTGGTTCAGCCCTTGCAGGCCGTACTTGCTCGCCTGCTTCCTTTTTCTGAAATATTCGATTGTCTTTGAATACTTCAAGCGTCCCCGACCCCGACTAACGCCTTGCGTTGTTTTCAGGGATCTGATGTACTATATGTCCTCGGCGTCTGTGCGTGAGACCAATCCCAAGTGCGCCTTCAAAACAGAGATCGCCAACGACCGTTCGGAGCCGACCATCCTCGTCAAGCTCGGTCAGTATCTGGGGTACGCTCCGGGCCTAGTGAGGGGGCTCACAGCGGCAGGCCATTCTCAGAAGCAGCCCGCTGAGTGGACATACACTGGCCAGGCCGCGGCCTCCAGCTGTATTGTTGTCAACACGCGTTGACGAAGCAGCGAGGGTCCTATCCAAAATGCAAACAGTGGTCGGCAGTAGTATGCGTTTCATTTTATCAATGTTGTATTCCTGACCATCATGTGACCTGACCATCCACATCCACAGCATTATTATGTGGATGTGGATGTGTCATCTCAAATCTTCGGGACCCGTTCTTGTCTGCTTATTGAGGTCGCGCTCATGCAGCGCCATCGACCATCACAAAAACATGTTTGTTTTTACACTGCCAGAAACTCTGGGCTTTGACCGCGGCCTACTTTATACTGCTCGAGGTGTGCTGGCGCGGTAGCGGAGAGTTCTCGGGTCTGCCGTATTGTCTGAGGGCGTCCGGCGATCCGTCCACCGATGGCCGTCGGTGGCGTGACGCTTCCCGCGCGACGTGGCGTGACGTTCCCGGCGTGATGTACGTGGCGATGGTGACGCTCGCGGAACGTGCCGGAGGCCGTCTGTGGAGCGCCGAGCTAGAGTCACGGCTGGGCCTGCCGGTCCGCCGTTAGCCCGCGCCCTGCCTGCCCGCGTCCCTCGTTCCGGCGCGCTCGGGATCGTGCCTCGGTGGCGTCCTGTGACTGCAGATTTGTGTCGGTCTTATACGCAGGACTTCGAGTTCAGCTGCAGCTTTGTGTGTGTGGGGGGGGGGGGGGGGGGGGGGTTGTGGGTGTGGGTGTGGATGTGTGTGTGTGTGTGTGTGTGTATGTGTATGTGTATGTGTATGTATATGTGTATGCGTTGCGTGTGCGTGTGCGTGTGCGTGTGCGCGTGCGCGCGCGCGTGGTGTGTGTGTGTGTGTGTGTGTGTGTGTGTTGTGTGTGTGTGTGTGTGTGTGTGTGTGGTTTGTGTGTGTGTGTGTGTGTGTGTGTGTGTGTGTGTGTGTGTGTGTGTGTGTGTGTGTGTGTGTGTGTGTGTGTGTGTGTGTGTGTGTGTGTGTGTGTGTGTGTGTGTGTGTGTGTTTGTGTGTGTGTGTGTGTGTGTGCGTGTGCGTGTGCGTGTGTGTGTGTGTGTGTCGTCTACTTCGTAGCCTGCTGCTGTTAACCTGGACTGTATAAAACGTGCATCATTTTCTACCTGATCAGCGATAATTATGCATGCATCTCTTTTCGTTGTCCGTTGTTTCGTGTGAGCTGTACGCGACCACCACGTAGCTATGTCCCGGAAGGCTCGACGGTGTCCTAAATATGAATATTTTATGTGCGGTCTAATATCTCTCAGTGAGTGAGTGGCGGGGCCCCGCTGCAGCCAGTCGTGAGCGGTATCATTCCTCGGCATCTCGTCTGATCAAGACGGTCATTTCACCACGACGATGCTTCACAAGCCTTTCGGACTCACGTACCCGACATTGCCCTGACCCACTTGACGAAGCCGGGCAAATGTGAAGCCGGGGGCGCGCGGAGGGCCGCGGCATCACTGCCCGCTGGACATATGATGACAAGCTCACCCGAGAGTTGAGATCCGGGCTGGCGACCTTGCGTCGGCGCCCGTCGATCTCGCTGTGACCCGTCTCGCTGATAAGAGCTGATGTCCGCCCGTTGCCGCCGCGCTGTGACCCGTGCCGACCGAGCGCCGTCTGACACCACCGCCTGCCGTTCCAGACAGCACCAAGTCGGTCCTGTTCAAGGCGGATAACCTGACAGTGCTGGAGGTGCTGAAGCTGTGGAACCAACACATCACGCCGTTGGCCGCGGCCGCCGACGACGCCGGGCAGTCGACCGCTAAGGCGGGCAAGGCCAAGGCGGGCAAGGCTCGTCTGCGCTAGCCTGGGCGGCGGTGTGTGCTGACGGGCTGGTCGTGCGAGCTCGGCCTGAGCGTCGGCGGTGACAGCGGCGTCCCGGTACTGTGTTGACCGCCAGAGCGCGCCGCGGCCGCCATGTCGATGTCCGAGAAGAAGTACCAGTCGACGCGCGCCATCACCAACGCCCTGTACAACAGCGTGCCCTCCTTCACCGACCTGTTCGAGGAGGAGACGTTCTACATCGCAGCCGGCACGCTCGTGCTGGCCTCCGCGCTGGCGGCCATCGTCCTGTCGCGCTTCATCACGCTGAAGCCGGTGGAGTAGGAAATGGGCCTCCGTCGGTCGGGCGGGTGGGCGGCCGCGGGCCGGCGGTGGTCCGACTCCTGGGGGCTCGGTGTGCTGCGGGTAGTCGGTAAGAATCATCCGACCATTTGCTCTTTGTGAACGGTGAGGGAGGGGTGGTAATGGGAGGTCGGCATTGCTACACGATAGTGACCATCCTCAGCCGAGTCTGTTCTGGGAGCAGCTCACTCTGAGACCGCCCGGTGCGGCGTCCTAGTCAATGGGATTTTCGCCGTCTTGGCGATTTGTATCCATTTATGTGTGCAGGTCCGGTTATTTTGGCATCCGATTTATGCCGGCTGTATTCCGTAGCGCCCTCGTTTGGCTAGACTGAGTGTCGGAGTTTGATGCAGATGCGTTCTTTTTTGTATCTCGGAGAACATGCTCGATGTTGGTTGGGATGATAATACAAATGAAATAAAGTAAAAAACGTCACGGAGTTACTTATCATTATGCCCGTCTCGAAAGCTCAGTTTGTTAGAGCGCCTACCTTCCAATCTGTCCACCCGTGGCGGGGTGGGATTGAGTCGCTCCAGGCCCTCGCTATTTACTCTTGACAAGCATGGTTTCCGGCCTGTGGCAGTGGCCGCGATAAAGGCCAGGTGACGAGAGAGGGCAGGACGGACCATGCCGACCATTGCGGTGCGTTAAACTTTCGCCACTTAATTCTGCCACTGACTTGTAATTGCAGGATCGGATAATAAGAATCAGGGCTCCGACAAGTCTTGCTTAGAGTGAGCTCCTGCCCTCAAAATCCATCCAATCAAAAGCTGATCAAATCTTCAAAACAACATTCAGATGCATGTGTATTCATTGCAAAAAGACTCAACGTTTCGTCCCTCTAACTTGGTCAGGATATTGGTACGAATGTTCAGCCTACCAAAGCCCAGAGAACGAGGCATTGGGGCGGTTAGCAGCGAAGTGCATTCCCCGTTCGATAGTTGCCTTGTGTGGCAAATTTGTGACTGAAAGACGCAATATGTATCTGCAGACTTAGCATGGCTACAAATGGCTAGTTCTATGTATGGCTTCAATGCAAATTAAGTTGTGATGTTAATTTCCTTGGCTCGGATGAACCACGTACATCGGAATTACCTGCGCTTCCATAGTTTTGCTTACACCATGTATCGCACACAATGGATGACCAGTAACGTTCAAGCGAACAACGACACAAAGCAAGGTGTTGTGAAGTTCGAAACTCGAAACGCCAGTGGGCCTTCTTTGGCTCCAATGATGGCAAACATCGTATTTTAGGGTTCAACGGGTTCTCGTGGAGCGAGTTGAGACGGATCTAGGTCACCTAATTGACTTACAGAACAGCGTTGCAGAAACGCTGGAGACACGTCACAGAAACTGCCAATAGCTGTGCCCTTGACCGGGGTTGGGCTTGACTTCCGTTGGCTGCCACCGCAGATGAGACTAGTTGCTACGAGTAGTCGCAGTTCTCGATCTTTTAGAAAGATGTCTCCGTCTGGACCAAGCCAGGCATTGAGAATCGAGGCACCCTGGGTAGGAGGGAGCGGGTCTCACAATGCGCGTCCTGCTTCGCGCTCTGCGACCTTGCCATGCCAGCCGTGTGTCAAAACTCAATGGCACGGTAGAGGCGATGCAGTCTGCCCAGTCCGCAGGGCAATCAGCGCCATCCGATCCCCGCCCAGCCACCCGTGCGGCTGTGAATGTAAGCCGGCCTGCAATGGCCCGGTACAATGCCACACTAGCTGCTGCCGTGCTTCGTCCGTAAACACGACAAAAGGGCACGAGCTACCGTCGCGAGGAAACGGAAGCATGTCACGTCAAACTAGGTACACTGGCTCGAAGCATCTGGCCGCTGGATCAAGCGTAGCTGCAGGGGCGATTCCGGAAGCCACCGCTCCAGCCAGACCCGGTCCCATAGGTACCCCGCGCCGATCGATGTCTGGTGCATAATCAGTGTGCACGGCCCGCCAGTTCACGAGACCCACCCCGAAGCTAACGTCACCTCTTGGCCACCGCCGACGGCCGTCGCTCCCGCGCGGAGAGGCCTACTGAGACCTCTGCGCCGTGAAGGCCTCGATCAATAGAAAATGCTCGCGTTCAAACGACGGACAACGAAGCTGCACGACGCCTGTATTGCAGCAAGCCACCTGGATATGGCAGCTTTGGTGTCGGTCGTACTAGAGGGCGCCTTTCAGACCCGAGGAAAACTGATGTCTGAGCCCGCCCCCGACTGCTGTAAGTCGTGACTCCCGAGACCTAAAGCCCGTCCCCTGACTGCTGTAAGTCGTGACTCCCGAGACCTAAAGTCCGTCCCCTGACTGCTGTAAGTCGCGACTTCCGAGACCTAAAGTCCGTCCCCTGACTGCTGTAAGTCGTGACTCCCAAGACCTAAAGTCCGTCCCCCGACTGCTGTAAGTCGTGACTCCCGAGACCTAAAGCCCGTCCCCTGACTGCTGTAAGTCGTGACTCCCGAGACCTAAAGCCCGTCCCCTGACTGCTGTAAGTCGTGACTCCCGAGACCTAAAGCCCGTCCCCTGACTGCTGTAAGTCGTGACTCCCGAGACCTAAAGTCCGTCCCCTGACTGCTGTAAGTCGTGACTCCCGAGACCTAAAGCCCGTCCCCTGACTGCTGTAAGTCGTGACTCCCGAGACCTAAAGCCCGTCCCCTGACTGCTGTAAGTCGTGACTCCCAAGACCTAAAGTCCGTCCCCCGACTGCTGTAAGTCGTGACTCCCGAGACCTAAAGTCCGTTCCCTGACTGCTGTAAGTCGTGACTCCCGAGACCTTAAGTCCGTCCCCTGACTGCTGTAAGTCGCGACTTCCGAAACCTTAAGTCCGTCCCCTGACTGCTGTAAGTCGTGACTCCCGAGACCTAAAGTCCGTCCCCTGACTGCTGTAAGTCGCGACTTCCGAGACCTAAAGTCCGTCCCCTGACTGCTGTAAGTCGTGACTCCCAAGACCTAAAGTCCGTCCCCTGACTGCTGTAAGTCGTGACTCCCGAGACCTAAAGCCCGTCCCCTGACTGCTGTAAGTCGTGACTCCCGGGACCTAGTCCGTCCCCTGACTGCTGTAAGTCGTGACTCCCGAGACCTAAAGCCCGTCCCCTGACTGCTGTAAGTCGTGACTCCCACGTTTCTTGAACAACGTTGCTTAAGTGTTACTCCTGTAGTTATCACCCGTTTCTCATCGATCACTCGTTCACTCGTGTGTCTCAACGCACGTCGGAAAAAACTTGAGATGCCCCGCTGACAGGTTCTGTAACTACCGGAACACCGCGCTCTGGGGACATGACGGGTGCGGCCTGCCGCCAGGGGGCGGAGGCTTCTTCAACTTGCTGCTTCATGTTGCTGCTGTAATCCTGCCTCACGCCCCTCCCCACATGCTTGTTCAGTGGCGAGTAAGGCTCCTGTCACCAGCAGCAAGGACTGATCGGCGGAGTGCGACCAGGGCACATCTGTCTTCAGAGAGGGCTGAATGGCGGAGTACCTTGAGGGCATGTCTGTTTTCAGGGAGGGCTAGCCGGCGGAGTGCGACTAGAGCACATCTGTCTTCAGAGGGCTGGCTGGCTGAGTGCCTTGAAGGCATATCTGTTTTCAGGGAGGGCTGGCTGGCGGAGTGCGACTAGAGCACATCTGTCTTCAGAGATCGGTGTTGGCGCAGGTCTTTATTCTCTTGCGCCTTAACCCTCGCCCATGCAGGGCATTCTGACACTTGCGATGGCGCACCTGGGTTTCGTTGGTTCGACTTCCCCTGAGCTGTCCACACGAGACTTGCTGAAGAGACAAAATAGGCGTGTGCAGCGTCGGCGACACCTCGCCATTGACACATTCGTATCTATAGGTGTCAAAAATGACTTGCCATGTCTGCTCAAAGGCAACATTTTCGCACAAAATGATTGCTTCGATTGGATGCAGAACTTTAAGATGTAAGAGACACACTGTCAACGACCACTGGCATGTTCTGCAGCGTCTATGAATGTAATGGCATTCATATTCATATTCATTTTCAGCCAAATTTAAGGCACAGCTCACGGGTAAGGGCACGGAAAAGCCTGCATCCAGTTTGTGGGGTGCATGCATTGTTGACTGGAAACCACCTTGGCACGAGGGTATTCAGGTCCCAAGCTGTGACGAGAGTACTGTCGTAACACAGCAGCCGCGAAAACCATTGGCAGCGGGCTGCCGGGCGCGGCGGCTGGCGAGCGTCGCACTTACAATCCGCTGCTATCAATACAATACCACTGGTGGTGGATGCTAACTTGCCACAGGCCAGCTACTGCACTCAGCGCACCTACCCGCCATGTCATCGCACACAAAAACTGTGATGAAAATAGACAATTGCATCGTAGTGCAGGAGATGATGAATGCACAATTTGCGCGAACCAATCCCAGGACGCTCATCAGGTCACATTTATCCTAGGCCACCTAGCACGCATCGTTTCCGATCAACGTCACTCAATGCAACAGTCCGCGAACGTGTCCAAAGATGGTTGAAGCCCGCTCAACCTACAGAGGCGAACCACGGCCATGCTCACGCACCAACGTACCCACCACGCAGTACACCAGGGATTGCGACATCCGCCAGCTGAGCTGCAGGCCGGTCCAATCTCCGGAAGGCCAGACCGGGAGCGCTCTAGTCCCGTGTTCCGGCAAACATACGTCTGGTTTAGATAACCCTGCGCCACTGTGGCGGCGATGCGTATATCGACGACAGCAGCTGATAAACGTATTTCGATTAGGGCCCTTCCGGCCCGTTGCCATTGCGGGGCTGCGGGATGGAGAATGGATACCGTTGGGGCACAGCTGTCTGTCCCTGGTGACCCCTCCGCTGAGACTCTGCCCGCACACGGACCGCTTTGCAGGGTGTTTATTGGTGCTCAGAACCCCCGCACAGGGCCACCTCGGCCCACTCACGGCTGGCGCATACACGACAAGACTCATGTATCCTCGCGGCGCCCGTGGACAAGTGGGGCGCCGCGAGGATGCATGATGAAATAAGGATGATAACATGGGCGTGTGCTGGCATGATGATAGGGACTGACATAGCAACCCCGTATGTTGCATTATGTTGTTAGAAAAGACTAGTGCTGTAAGCAACAGCAGTCTCAAACCCTTCATGAACCCCATATTTCTCAAAAGATCATGTATTTTGGGAGCGAAGTCACTCGTCATTCCACGCTATGTAAACCTATAGGAGCAACACTCAGATATTCTAGACCGCTTTTGCACCCACTTCATAACAATGTCGCACGGCACCAGTTCCTCACACCGCGCGGCCCCGCAGTGAAACACAGTTTCGCCAGTCCCCGACAGGTGGCACTAGCGCTTCTTCCACGTACGGCCCTTGCGAGCGCCCTTCTTGCCAGGTTTGTACCGTTCCCGGGTGCGCACGTCGCGGGTCAACAAGCCAGCTGTGGGAGGGACACGCAGGCCGTGAGCAGACCCATGTGCCGTTATCGGAGTCACCCACGCCGTGACCGTGCTGATCAGCAGCAAATAAGCAGAGGCGACGAACGCGACCACGTCCACGACAGGAACGTAATCGGCTAGCCACTACTGAACTCTCCCCTGCACGATAAATGGGCCTGCAGTACATAACTCGACCTAGGAAATTTCCACCAATCTCACATAAATGCTACTTTACTTGGCCAATACCCTGCTGACACTTTCGGTCACCTCCCCCGGGCGACCCGCATCTCAACCCCCCCCCCCCCCCCCTCCTCCTCCCCCAAGAGTCGCACCTCATTGAGTTGGGGCACCTCAGCTCGCCGCTCACCTATCCGCATCGTCTCCTGCATGTCCTTGTCGACGAAGCTGCGCAGGGCGACGGCGACGCCGTGCCGGAGGGCGCCGGCCTGCGCACTAGGCGCCTGCACCGGGTGCGGCTGGCCCTTCCGCTCGCGGTCGGCGTACCGCTGCACAGGCCCGGCGTACCGCACCGTCGCCTCCACGTCCACGGCGTCCAGCAGGCCGGCCACCTGCAGCGGGAACATCACCTGCGGCGCCGGCGCTGGTCAGCGCGCGCTGGAGCCCTCTGCGCGCGCGGGCCACAGGCACAGGAGCAGTGGTGTGGCGGTCACCGAGCGGGGCGTGCATCACTGGACGCCCTGACGGCGCACGAGCCACGCCTACACGAATCACAGACGCATTGAGCCACTCGCCTGCGGGAGCTACGTGACTGGAAAGCGGGCATCACGAACACAATGAAATTTATAGCGAGTATATAAATGGAGTCCAGGTGCGCCCTCTGGGTGCCAATTCAAATGCGAGCGCGCTGCAGCCCGGCGCATGCCGCGGTCACCGCGCCAAGATGGAGAGTCAGCGGCCGGTGCCAGCCGTCGAGTGGGTCCGACAGGCCCTGCTCACGGCTGACGGCTGCCGTCAGCCGTGCCCCCCCCCCCCCCCCCCTCCTCCTCCGGGACTCTGTGACCTCACCTGGGCCACGTCCTGGTTGCCGCTGCGCGAGCCGTTGCGCCAGAAATACTGCAGCAGCGGGATGCCGTTGACGGTGACGCGGCCCGAGCCGCGGCCACGCACCGTCACCCGAGCCCTGGCAAGCTTCTTCCGGAACCCGTCCGCCTCCATGTACGGCCGGCCGTCGGCGTCGAACATCAGCTGCGGCCGAGGGTTTGGGGGTCAGACGACCCGGTCACAGCGCCGTTGGAGGTCAGACGACCCGGTCACAGCGCCGGGCGCGCTCAGATACGCGCACACGCGCACGCGCGCCGGGGTCAGACAACGATAACCACTTCACGTGGCGCTCTCGGTGCCACAGTGTCTACCTCAGTCGGCGGGTGACGCACAGGCCGGATGGTTTACGTGCGCGATCAGCCAACAGGTACATCGTCCGTCCAGACTCCTTCACTGATGCGATATGCCCCAGACTTCTGGACCTGTCGCTATGCCACGCACCTCGGGCACGTCTTCGACCTTGCTGGTCACCTGCAGAGTCTTGCGGTACTTGAAGATGAAGTCCTTCTGGTGATACGACAGCGGGTGCTCCACCAGACGGTTCATGGCCCGAATGAATTCCTGGTACTGTCAAAACACCATTTGGCAATCATAACGAATGCAATGCTATTGTGAGAGTATTGGTGTGTCACGGGTTCACTTGGGTGATATCCCCGTCTGTGCGAGCGACCGCGACGCTACAGCCATTGCTCACGGCATCATGAGAAATGACAAAGGTGCAACGCAGTTAAATCTGCCATTTGGCGCATCTCTCAACTACGGGTCTAGCACAGTGGAACGTTTTCCTTTGTCTTTTCTGTTTGCCTCGTAACAGTGGACAATCGATACAAACCCCAAGCTTGTAACAATAATACGCATTATCATGCGACAAAAGTACCAGCCATGCCCATGAACGCTCCAATCTCCTGTATTTACCGCAGCAGAGATCAGCAGAAGCACGAACATTCTCTCACATCGCCTCCCCATGCCATGTGTGGCATGGTAATGACCTGCAGCATAATCTGCGGTCTCTCCCCGTCTCCGTCTAGCTCGCCACGCTCACCTGGTGCTCGTTCAACGGCTCCAGCAACGTCTTGCCCAGCTCCACGACATTCAACCACTCACTCCCGAGGAGCGACCTGCGGCACACGGCAGATTCCCTCAGCGGGCCGTGGAGCAAGGGAGGAACGCAGCGGGGAGGGTCCCGGTTCATATCCGATCCAGCGCCCGTGATCCCGGCTTCGCCCACATGGTATCCAAGGGGATGAAGAGTGAACATTGATAGTGCACATGAAGGAAGAGTAATGAATGCACGCTCCATATATTTGTTGGAAACTTCCAGCTTTTATTCAGAACTTCAAAGTATTGAATTGCCGGGCTGGAGCTGCGATTTCACTGCGATGGCACCTCGGCTCGACGGCGTAAAACCGGCGCAGGGGAACACTGCATCCGTGCCTTCCTATCCTTGGACAATGAAGCATTCAGTGTTAACGTTGGTGTTAATGCTTTCTTTGATCCCAGATTCCTGAAAAAGCGCGCTCGAAACTGCCACCGCGCGCTGCAATGAATATAGTTCTTATGTGCCGCGCCTCTCTCTAGGCAGTGCCGCCCTCTACCGCAAGCGGGGAACTCATATCCATTGCCTAGTTAGACGCGATTTGTACCGATTATTTGGTCATCCATATTCGAACATGTACTAACCAGAATTCCTCATCATGAGGGCGACTCCAGGCCAGGGTACTCGCGACGTGCACTAATCGCGGCTGCCACCAGCGGCCCATCCAGTCGTACTTTTTAGTTGCTGATAGCATTGCAAACACTGATCGCGGGCCCATGAAATCAGCAATAGCACAGTTTTCAAAAGCTGTGCTGTAATATTGTATTAGTATTTTATTTATTATTATTGTAATAGTATTTCAACGCCGACTGTTTGAACCTTAGGTTATTTTCGGCTTGGAACTGCCTGATACTGACGAATGTCAACCCCTTTCTCTTTTATATCCTTTCTCTCCCACTGACGAAGAAGAAAAAAAATTCGCACTCTGAAAAAGGGGGTCGGTGCACGCACTCACGCAATCATACCCAGGCTATGACCCTGGTCATTTTGATTTTTTTTAGGCACTGACTTAAGGTCCTGGCACCAAAGCCAGCAGAGACAAACCACCGGTGCGGTGCATGCGAATATATCGTCAAGAAGCCACTGTGTTAAGTACGTCAGACGTCTACTAGAAGGCAGCCAATGAGCGTCCTTCCAGAACAGACTTCAAGCGCAACAGACTTTGGCCTAAGCGGAGACAGATTGGGCCGTGGAAACTGCATCAACACGTCACCGAATATACGGTGAGGCATGTCCAGTCAACATAAAGGACGTTTCCCAACGTTTCTATCCGTCACCAAAATTGGAAATATCCCAAATTTATTGAGTTTGTCAATTAGAGCTGCCAGGCCTTGGCAGGCCGCGAGACAGCCAATGTTACAGCGATGCCAACTGTACATGTGCGCGAATGGTCATCGCCGGAGGGCCTGTGCCTGCTAGGCTCATGACATGATGTTCCAATGCGCTGGCGTGCCGCCCGTCGGTTTTCCCAAGGCGACGGGTCCCATTTGCTTTAGCATTAATGCGTCATACACGTGGTGGTAGTAATTATTTTGGTTATCACATTGTTGTTCCCATGCCACACAATGCCTGCTGGTTGTTAGAAAGCACGCGTACTGCTCAGTCAGAAGGCAGCGAGCGGTCTTCACAGTTCTCCTTCATCTCCTTCTCCCACATCAGAGTCAGGTCTCACGTCAATCAACTATGTAAAGAGCTAAACTCACAGTTTCTGAGATGGATCTGGTAGCTGGCCACGGGCCACGTTCTTGGATTCCAGCTTGTCCAGCTGGTTCAACCGTTCCACCAGATCCTGGAGGGGACAAGCAATTATACTTCACAAAGACGAAGACCACTAAATGTGCAGCAATGGTGGCCGTGCCACACTCCGCGGATGAGCCCACCGAGGCTGAATTATGCGAGTTTTGCGACTCATGTGACCACGCCTTTGACGCGCAATTCTGGTCCCAGCCAGCTGCACCACAAACTCTCCTAGTCACCACCACACCATTTGCCAGGTCGGAGTCCGCCGGCCCGCAGAGCGGTGACCAGCGCGCGCGGCGACTCACGTAGAGCGTCATGTAGAAGTTCGGCTTCAGCGTGTAGAACAGCGAGTGGAAGGGCCGGCCAGTCTCATCGAACTGCGCCTCCTTCTGCTGCGGAAACACCTCGCTCGGGTGTAGCATCCTCGGGCGCGCCTTCTTGTCGAAAATGCCGGTCGGGAAGAGGTACCGGATGGACCTCTGCCGCACATCGGCTTCAGTTAGGCCGAGGCAACGTCTGAACTCAATCACGTGGCAGCATTGTCAACCAAAAATAATAGGCGGTGTGCAACGCATCACAAAACAACTGAGTGATGTGGAGTGAAGTACAAAGAGCTACAAAGCGCAGACGGCCGTGATGTTCGGGTCTGGAGCTGGTAGGAGCTTCATGCCTCTTCTGTTGCATACTATAAGAGATGAGAGGCTTAAGAGACTTAAATTTAAGAAAAAATGACAAGAGACTCAAAAACAAAATGTGGCTCAAATGTGCAAAAATGAAACAGGAGTATAGAATGCTTTGCTGACCATTGGCTAAAGCACGCTTCATAACAGAATCTCAAAATGCCAACTGGACAAAATCTGGAACCATCTGGAATGAACATTTTACAGGGAAAACTAAAAAGCTTACATCAATGTCTCTCTGGGTGAAATGTTCAGGATCTTCACCCATCATGTTGGCCAGATGTCGCTTTCCGATCTCGAACTCAGATATTTCCTTGCGCATGAACTCCTCTGCAATTGGACAACATTCTCTGTATTAGAGCGGGATACCCTGAATATCAATACATGCGTTTCAAGAAGTGAATTACACAGCTATATCATAGAGACTGCTGCTAAAAGGCTTATGCTCAGTGTCCCTAACAATTCTATATTATCCCATTTTGTAATTCACAGTTCCTGGCACATGTGAAGGTGGGTGGAAAAGGGGGGGGGGTGCAAACACCTAGTGCAGGTCACTTAATATGACATTTTACAGGAAATGTTTAGGCAAGCAGCATACCTTTATTTGCACTGCAAACTTACATCTGTGCTGAACTGACAATACTCTTTGCACACTTAACTATCAGCTCACAAAGACTTGACTTCAAAATTGGTCTGTATCATACACTGAAAAAACAAGTCCAACCCTGTCTGTAAAATCACGCTTGGTTAGCACAACCAAAATGCACTTCATCACCACATATTCTTCTTCAATGGGCTAGCATGATTCCTCAATGGCCAAGCATATGCCTACATCAAAGAAGTGATGGGGACATAGAAATAGTTGCTGCAAGAAGCCTTCATGTGACCAGCCACTGCATGCACTGAAAAATACCATGTTTTGCAGCACGCTCCATATAGGCCATCATGGCCTTGCTGGTCTTCCTTGTGGTTGCTGGGTCTGTTGGCTGGTCTGAGTGATCCAGGGGGTCTTCAGTGACAGCTGTTGTCAGTGGCTGGCAGAGAGAGGGCCTCAGCCCAGCCAGTGGTGCCAGTGTGGCACGCCGCAGCATCTCCAGCACCCTCAGCCTGCCCAGTGACATAGTGGCTGGCACTGTATCTGGTGACAGCACACATAGTGATCAACCAGCAGCAGCTGATGTGTGCAGACACATAGGATATGGTAGGTAAATATCACACTTGATTGGGCTAGGCAGTCTGGGGAGGTCAAAGTAGTGTTCTTATTTAATTTGGTGCATGATATGCAGAGGGAAATGAGGACAACAAATAGGTAATTTGATACTGGTGTAAAATAAAATACTTGGGCATCACCTGTATGTTACCAGAGCTGTCTTGCCCACCTTTGCTTATCATCCAACAACAGCTAAGTCCAACAGCCAAGCCAATCTAACTGAGCTTTTTAACCTGAATGTGAGACAAGCTAAAACCCAGACATACAAATTAACGAGCTAATCTAGTAAAGACGGTAATTTTTTACTTGGGTACCTGTATGGCCGACGGAGGGAAGAGCTACGCTAGCTGCAGGGTTTCGAGTATTGTCGTGCGGGGCAAAAGCTGTGAGGCATCAGCTAACATTGTGACGTCACTGAAAATGGTTTTGCATCGATCGGGATCGGGGTTCTTTCGGGCCGACTGAAGGCCATAAGGCTTTTGCTTGTGATATGATGTCACTGGTATTCGGCTGGGTATGTGACGTCACTGATCGTGAGTGTGTAAGGCTCTTTTGGGTCCACTGAATGCCGTAATGCGTCAGCTGGCCATGTGTCGTCACTGGTATTCGATTGAACATCAGGCGCGGCCGGCCTCGTTCCATCTTTACTTTTCGTACCTGTCTGCTGCAAGCATTTGCGTGCCGCATAAAGGTTTGACCGAATTACCCCAATGTGTGACGTCCCTAATCATCACTTCATACGAGTGCACTTAGGCCTCACGACCACGGTGTGTCGTGGTCCGCGAAGTATCACCGGATAGCGTGACGTCACTGGTATTCGAATAAAAACTGGGCGCAAGAGGCCGTGCTTCATTTTTACCTTTGTACTTGTCTACTGCAAGCATTGGCGTGCTGGATGAAAGCTGCCGAACCACCTGAGTGTGTGACATCACTGGCCATGAGTTCCAACGGTGCTTTTCGGCCAACTGAAGACCACAAGGTGTCAGCTAACGACGTCACTGCTATACGACTGTAAGACGTCAATGGCCGTGGGTTTCCACGGGCCCTATAGGACCGACGAAATGCCGTTAGGCATCAGCTGGCGATATGACGTCACTGGTATTTGGCTGAACATCAGGCAACAGGTCATGCTCCATTTATACCTTTCGTGCATGTCTGCTGCAAGTATTGGCGGATTTTTTGTGCGGCCAACTGAAGACCATAAAGCATCAGCTAAAGATGTGACGTCGCTGGCACTCGACTGTGCGTGTCGCTGGTCATGAGGTTTTACGGCCTCTTTTGGGCCGACGAAAGGTCATACGGCAATGACTGAAGATGTGACGTCACTGGTATTCGAATGAACTTCGGGCGCGACAGACCATGTTCCACCTTTATCTTTGGTACCTGTCCATTGCAAGCATTGCCGTGGAAGGCTCTGCCAAATTACCTGAGTGTGTACGTCACTGACCATTAATTTGCACACTCTTTTGAGCCTACTGTAGGCCACAAGGCATCAGCTGACGATATGATGTCACTGGGTTTCGACTAGACATCATGCGCAACAGGCCATGCTACATCTAAGCCATGTTTCGTCTGTACCTTTCGCACCTATCTACTGCAAGTATTCGCGCGACACAGGGGCTCTGCCGAATTACCTGAGCGTGTGGTGTAACTAGTTAGGAGTTAACGCGGGTTTACTCTGGCTGATTGAAGGACATCAAGCATCAGCTGACGATATGACGTCACTGGTATTCGACTAAACTTCAGGCGCGACAGGCCATGTTCCATCTTTACCTTTCGTACCTGTCTCTTGGAAGTATGGGCGTGCTGAATGAAGGCTCTGTCGAGTCTCCTAAGTAACGTCACTCGTCAAGGGCTTTTTACGGGACCTTTTGCACCCCCAAACGGTAAAATGCATCAGCTGATGATATGACGTCACTGGTGTCCGACTTAACATCAGGCGCGACAGGCCATGTTCTATCTTTACCTTTCGTACCCGTCTATTACAAGTATTGACGTGCTGAATGAAGGCTCTGTCGAGTCTCCTGGGTGTGTAACGTTACTGGTCATGAGTTTTTTCTGGCTCCTTGGAACCCTCTATAGGGAAAAATGCATCAGTTGACGACATGATGTCAATGGTGTTCGACTTAACATGAGGCGTAACAGGTCATGTTCCATCTTTGCCTTTGGTACCTGTAAAGTATTGGTGCGTTAAATGATGGCTCTGCCGAGTCACCTGAGTGTGCGACGTCACTGGTCATGAATTTTTACCAACTATTTTTGGCTGAGCAAAAGCCATAAGGCATCAGCTAACGAAATGACATTGTATTCGAATTAGCATCAGTTGCAATAAGCCATGTTTCATCTTTACCTTTCGCACCTGCCTACTGCAAGTATTCGTGCGCTACAAAAAGGCTCTGTCGATTCGCCTGAGCGTGTGGTGTAACTGGTCATGAGTTTGTGCAGGTTTACTCGGGCTGACTGAAGGACATCAAGCATTATCTGACGATATGACGTCACTGGTAATCGACTAAACTCCAGACGAATCATCTGAGTGGGTGACGTCGCTGGTCATGAGTTCATACGGATTCACTTGGGCCGTCCCAAGGCCACAAAGCAACACCTCCCGTGAAGCATCACAGGATGATATGTCGTCACTGTTATTCGACTTAACATCAGGTCCAACATGCCACGTACTTTCTTTACCTTTTGTACTTGTTTATTAAAGGTATTGACGTGCTGAATGAAGGCTCCGTCGAATCTCCTGAGTGTGTGACGTCACTGGTCACGAGTTTTTTACGGGCTCCTTTGAACCCATTTTAGGTTATAATGCATCAGCTGACGACATGACGTTACTGGTGCTCGACTAAACATCAGGCGCAACAGGTCATGCTCCATATTTGCCTTTCGTACCTGGCTGCTGCAAATATTCGCGTGCTATATGAAGGCTCCGCCGAATCACCTGAGTATGTGACGTCACTGATCATCAGTTGGTAGGAGGTCACTTGGCCACCTACGGCTACGGAGTTCCGCAGCAGAGGTGGGAGATGCACCATAGTTAAGCACACTAATTTTATTGTGCGCACCATTAAGTAACAACTTCAAACGCAACGGGCTGTTTTCAACGACTAAAATTTTGAACAAACGTAAACACAAAACAAAGGTGATCCCAGCCCACAAACCGACGTATATGCAAAGCTATTCCGCCCGACATCACAGGATGCGCCCCTGAGCAGCTACGGTCCGGAATGCCCTGATGGCTAAATAATAATCAAGGGCGCCGCCTAGCGGCCATAAGTCTGGGCCACAGCCCGAATATGAGTGACGTCATATGGTCAGGTGATGCTTGATGTCCTTCAGTCAGCCCGAGTAAGCCCGCGTAAACTCATGACCAGTTACACCACATGCTCAGGTGATTCGGCAGAGCCTTTATGTAGCGCGCGAATACTTGCAGTATAGAGGTGCGAAAGGCAAAGATGGAACATGACCTGTTGCGCCTGAGATTAAGTCAAATACCAGTGATGTCATATCGTCAACTGATGTCTTGTACCCTATAGGTACAAAAAAGCAGCCCGTAAAGAACTCATGACCAGTGACATTACACACTCAGGAGATTTCACAGAGCTTTCCTTAAGCATGTCAATGCTTACAATAGACAGGTACGAAAGGTAAAGACGAACAGTGGCCTGTCGCGCCTGGTGTTAAGTTGAATACCAGTGACGTCACATCGCCAGATGATGCTTGATGTCCTTCAGTCAGCCCGAGTAAACCCGCGTAAACTCATAACCAGTCACACCACACGCTCAGGTGATTGGGTAGAGCCTTTATGTGGCGCGCGAATACTTGCAGTAGATAGGTGCGGAAGGTAAAGATGAAACATGACATATTGTATCTGATGCTTAATTGAATACCAGTGACGTCATATCGTTACCTGATGCCTAATGGCCTTAAGTCGGCCCAAAAAGGCGCGGGAAAACTCATGACCAATGGCGTCACACACTTAGTGGATTACCAGTGACGACATATCGTTAGATGATGCCTAATGGCTTTCCGGCCAACAATAGCCTGTAAAAACTCATGATGACGCACTCAGGTGATTCGGCAGAGCCATCATTAGGCTCGCCAATACTTTAACAGGTGCGAAAGGCAAAGATGGAACATGACATGTTGTGCCTGATGCTAAGTCGAACACCAGTGACATCATATCGTCAACTGAAGCATTATACCATATAGGGGGTTGAAAAGAGCCCGTAAGAACTCTTAACCAATGACGTGATATAACACGCGAATGCTTGCAGTAGACAGGTACGAAAGGTAAAGATGGAACATGGCCTGTTGCGCCTGATGTTGAGTCGAATACCAGTGACGTCATATCATCCCGCGATGCTTTACAGGATATGATGCTTTGTTGCATTGGGCTGCCCAAGTGAACCTGTATAAACTCATGACCAGTGACGTCACGCACTCAGATGGTTCAGCATCACCTTGATATAGCACGCGAATGCTTGCAGTAAACAGGTACGAAAGGCAAAGATAGAGCATGGCCTGTTGCGCATGACACCTAGACGAAAACCGGTGACGTCATATGGTCAGCTGATGTGGTATGGCTTACAGTGGGTTCAAAACAGTCTATACAAATTAATGGTTAGTGACGTTACACACTCAGGTAATTCGGCAGACCCTTCCTTCAGCATTCAAATACTTGCAATGGACAGGTACCAAAGGTAAAGATGGAGCATGGCCATGGCCGCCTGAATTGTATTCGGATACCAGTGACGGCACATCTTCAGTTAATGTAGTATGACCTTTCGTCGGCCCAAAAGAGGCCGTAAAATCTGATCACAAGTGACATCACACGCAGTCGAATGCCAGTGACGTCACATCATTAGGCTATGCTTTACGGCCCTCAGTTGGCCCCCAAAGATCCATAAAAATGCATGACCAGTGACGTCACACACTCACGTGATTTGGTAGCTTTTATTCATCACGCCAGTGCTTGCAGTAGACAGGTACGAAGCTAAAAATGAACCTTGACCTGTTGCGACCAATATTTAGTCGAATATCACTGACGTCACGATACCCAGTGATATTTCACGGAACATGATACACCGCGGTCCGTGGGGCCTAAGTGCACTCGTATCAAGTGGTGATTGGTGACGTCACACATTCAGGTGATTCGGTCAAGCTTTTATTCGGCACGCAAATGCTTGCAGCAGACAGGTACGAAAGGTAAAGATGGAATAAGGCCCGTTGCGCCTGATGTTTCATTGAATACCAGCGACGACATATCGTCAGGTGATGCTTTACGGCATTCATTGCACCCAAAAGAGCCCTAAAGCCTCACAACCAGTGACGTCACATATCCAGTCGAATACCAGTGACATCATATCGCTAGCAAAAGCCTTGTAGCCTTCAGTCGGCCCAAAAGAACCCAGATCGATGCAAACCCATTTTCAGTGACGTCACTACGTCGGCTGATACCTAACAGCATTTCTCCATCATGGCAGTACAGGAACCCTGCAGCCAGCGTAGCTCTCCCACCGTCGGCAATACAGTACCCAAGTAAAAAAAAGCCCGTAAAAATCCTATATTGGTACCATTTAAAGTGAGCATGACATGAAGTACGCTGGCAAGTCTAACCATGCGTAGTACAGGCCAATAATACAGGCCAAGTGTTTCTTACAAGCAGAAATAGTTCGCTAATCTAACCCCGACATCCCCACGTTACCTCCGCGCCCGTCCGGCTTTTTTACTTGGGTACCCGTATTGCCGAAGGTGGGGAGAGAGCTACGCCGGCTGCAGGGTTCCTGTACTGCCGTGATGGAGAAATGCTGTTAGGTATCAGCCAACGTACTGACGTCACCGAAAATGGGTTTGCATCGATCGGGGCTCTTTTGGGCCGACTGAAGGCTACAAGGCATTTGCTAGCGATATGATGTCACTAGTATTCGACTGGATATGTGACGTCACTGGTTGTGAGGCTTCAGGGCTCTTTTGGGTGCAATGAATGCCGTAAAGCATCACCTGACGATATGTCGTCGCTGGTATTCAATGAAACATCAGGCGCAACAGGCCTTATTCCATCTTTACCTTTCGTACCTGTCTGCTGCAAGCATTTGCGTGCCGAATAAAAGCTTGACCGGATCACCTGGATGTGTGACGTCACTAATCATCACTTGATACGAGTGCACTTAGGCCCCACGGCCGCGGTGTATCGTGTTCCGTGAAATATCACCGGGTATCGTGACGTCACTGATATTCGACTAAATATTGGTCGCAACAGGTCATGCTTCATTTTTACCTTCGCATCTGTCTACTGCAAGCACTGGCGTGATGAATGAAAGCTACCAAATCACGTGAGTGTGTGACGTCACTGGTCATGCATTTTTATGGATCTTTGGGGGCCAACTGAGGGCCGTAAAGCATAACCCAATGATGTGACGTCACTGGCATTCGACTGTGTGTGATGTCACTTGTGATCAGATTTCACGGCCTCTTTTGGGCCGACGAAAGGTCATACGACATTGACTGAAGATGTGACGTCACTGGTATCCGAATAAAATTCAGGCGGGACAGGCCATGCTCCATCATTACCTTTGGTACCTGTCCATTGCAAGCATTTGAATGCTGAAGGAAGGCTCTGCCGAATCACCTGAGTGTGTAACGTCACTAACCATTAATTTGTACAGACTGTTTTGAACCCACCATAAGCCATACCACATCAGCTGACCATATGACGTCCCCGGTTTTCGTCTAGATGTCATGCGCAACAGGCCATGCTCTATCTTTGTCTTTCGTACCTGTTTACTGCAAGCATTCGCGTGCTATATCCAGGTGATGCCGAACCATCTGAGTGCGTGACGTCACTGGTCATGAGTTTACACAGGGTTCACTTGGGCAGCCCAATGCAACAAAGCATCACATCCTGTGAAGCATCGCGGGATGATATGACGTCACTGGTATTCGACTCAACATCAAACGCAACAGGCCATGTTCCATCTATACCTTTCGTACGTGTCTACTGCAAGCATTCGCGTGTTATATCACGTCATTGGTTAAGAGTTCTTACGGGCTCTTTTCAACCCCTATATGGTATAATGCTTCAGCTGACGATATGATGTCACTAGTGTTCGACTTAACATCAGGCACAAAATGTCATGTTCCATCTTTGCCTTTCGCACCTGTTAAAGTATTGGTGAGCCTAATGATGGCTCTGCCGAATCACCTGAGTGCGTCGTCATGAGTTTTTACAGGCTATTGTTGGCCGATTGAAAGCCATAAGGCATCATCCAACGATATGTCGTCACTGGTAATCCACTAGGTGTGTGACGCCATTGGCCATGAGTTTTCCCGGGCCTTTTTGGGCCGACTTAAGGTCATTAGGTATCAGGTAACGATATGACGTCACTGGTATTCAATTAAGCATCAGATACAATATGTCATGTTTCATCTTTACCTTCCGCACCTATCTACTGCAAGTATTCGCGCGCCACATAAAGGCTCTGCCCAATCACCTGAGCTTGTGGTGTGACTGGTTATGAGTTTACGCGGGTTTACTCGGGCTGACTGAAGGACATCTAGCATCATCTGGCGATGTGACGTCACTGGTATTCAACTTAACACCAGGCGCGACAGGCCATGTTCGTCTTTACCTTTCGTACCTGTCTATTGTAAGCATTGACATGCTTAAGGAAAGCTCTGTGAAATCTCCTGAATGTGTAATGTCACTGGTCATGAGTTCTTTACGGGCTGCTTTTTTGTACCTATAGGGTACCAAGACATCAGTTGACGATATGACATCACTGGTATTCGACTTAATCTCAGGCGCAACACGCCATGTTCCATCTTTGCCTTTCGCACCTCTATACTGCAAGTATTCGCGCGCTACATAAAGGCTCTGCCGAATCCCCTGAGCATGTGGTGTAACTGGTCATGAGTTTACGCGGGCTTACTCGGACTGACTGAAGGACATCAAGCATCACCTGACCATATGACGTCACTGATATTCGGGCTGTGGCCCAGACTTATGGCCGCTAGGCGGCGCCCTTGATTATTATTCAGCCATCAGGGCATTCCGGACCGTAGCTGCTCAGGGGCGCATCCTGTGATGTCCGGCGGAATAGCTTTGCATATACGTCGGTTTGTGGGCTGGGATCACCTTTGTTTTGTGTTTACGTTTGTTCAAAATTTTAGTCGTTGAAACAGCCCGTTGCGTTTGAAGTTGTTACTTAATGGTGCGCACAATAGAATTAGTGTGCTTAACTATGGTGCATCTCCCACCTCTGCTGTGGAATTTCGTAGCCATAAGTGGCCAAGTGACCTCCTACCAACTGATGATCAGTGACGTCACATACTCAGGTGGTTCGGCGGAGCCTTCATATAGCACGCGAATATTTGCAGCAGTCAGGTACGAAAGGCAAATATGGAACATGACCTGTTGCGCCTGATGTTTAGTCGAGCACCAGCAACGTCATGTCGTCAGCTGATGCATTATAACCTATAATGGGTTCAAAAGAGCCCGTAAAAAACTCGTGACCAGTGACGTCACACACTCAGGAGATTCGAGGGAGCCTTCATTGAGCACGTCAATACCTTTAATAGACAGGTACGAAAGGTAAAGAAAGTACGTTGCATGTTGGACCTGATGTTAAGTCGAATAACAGTGACGACATATCATCCTGTGATGCTTCACGGGAGGTGTTGCTTTGTGGCCTTGGGCGGCCCCAGTGAATCCGTATAAACTCATGACCAGCGACGTCACCCACTCAGATGATTCGTCTGGAGTTTAGTCGATTACCAGTGACGTCATATCGTCAGATAATGCTTGATGTCCTTCAGTCAGCCCGAGTAAACCTGCACAAACTCATGACCAGTTACACCACACGCTCAGGCGAATCGACAGAGCCTTTTTGTAGCGCACGAATACTTGCAGTAGGCAGGTGCGAAAGGTAAAGATGAAACATGGCTTATTGCAACTGATGCTAATTCGAATACAATGTCATTTCGTTAGCTGATGCCTTATGGCTTTTGCTCAGCCAAAAATAGTTGGTAAAAATTCATGACCAGTGACGTCGCACACTCAGGTGACTCGGCAGAGCCATCATTTAACGCACCAATACTTTACAGGTACCAAAGGCAAAGATGGAACATGACCTGTTACGCCTCATGTTAAGTCGAACACCATTGACATCATGTCGTCAACTGATGCATTTTTCCCTATAGAGGGTTCCAAGGAGCCAGAAAAAACTCATGACCAGTAACGTTACACACCCAGGAGACTCGACAGAGCCTTCATTCAGCACGTCAATACTTGTAATAGACGGGTACGAAAGGTAAAGATAGAACATGGCCTGTCGCGCCTGATGTTAAGCCGGACACCAGTGACGTCATATCGTCAGCTGATGCATTATACCGTTTGGGGGTACAAAAGGTCCCGTAAAAAGCTCTTGACCAGTGACGTTACTTACTCAGGAGACTCGACAGAGCCTTCATTCAGCACGCCAATACTTCCAAGAGACAGGAACGAAAGATAAAGATGGAACATGGCCTGTCGCGCCTGGAGTTTAGTCGAATACCAGTGACGTCATATCGTCAGCTGATGCTTGATGTCCTTCGGTCAGCCAGAGTAAACCCGCGTAAACTCATAACTAGTTACACCACACGCTCAGGTAATTCGGCAGAGCCCCTATGTGTCGCGCGAATACTTACAGTAGATAAGTGCGGAAGGTACACACGAAACATGGCTCATATAGAGCATGGCCTGTTGCGCATGATGCCTAGTCGAAACCCAGTGACATTATACCGTCAGCTGATGCCTTGTGGCCTATAGTAGGTTCAGAAGAGTATACAAGTTAATGGTCGGTGACGTACACACTCAGGTAATTTGACAGAGCCTTCCACGGCAATGCTTGCAATGGACAGGTACCAAAGATAAATGTGGAACATGGCCTGTCGCGCCCGAAGTTCATTCGAATACCAGTGACGTCACATCGTCAGTCAGTGCCGTATGACCTTTCGTCGGCCCAAAAGAGGCCGTAAAATCTCATGACCAGCGACACGCACAGTCGAATGCCAGTGACGTCACATCGTTAGCTTATGCTTTATGGTCTTCAGTTGGCCGCAAAAAAATCCGCCAATACTTGCAGCAGGCATTTACGAAAGGTATAAATGGAGCATGACCTGTTGCCTGATGTTCAGCCAAATACCAGTGACGTCATATCGCCAGCTGATGCCTTACGGCATTTCGTCGGTCCTAAAGGGCCCGTGGAAACCCACGACCATTGACGTCTTACAATCAGTCGTATAGCAGTGACGTCGTTAGCTGACACCTTGTGGTCTTCAGTTGGCCGAAAAGCACCGGTGGAACTCATGACCAGTGACGTCACACACTCAGGTGGTTCGGCAGCTTTCATCCAGCACGCCAATGCTTGCAGTAGACAGGTACAAAGGTAAAAATGAAGCACGGCCTGTTGCGCCCAGTATTTATTCGAACACCAGTGACGTCACGCTATCTGGTGATACTTCGCGGACCATGACACACCGTGGTCGTGGGGCCTAAGTGCACTCGTATGAAGTGATGATTAGGGACGTCACACATTGAGGTGATTCGGTCAAACCTTCATGCGGCACGCAAATGCTTGCAGCAGACAGGTACGAAAAGTAAAGATGGAACGAGGCCGGTCGCGCCTGATGTTTAATCGAATACCAGTGACGACCATGGCAAGCTGATGCACTGCGGCATTCAGTGGACCCAAAAGAGCCTTAC